ACACTCTCATACACACACAACTTGTCCGTCAGTAAACCGCAAAATGAAACAAGACCAAGTCGAACATATGAAACAACAACAATGAAAAGCGGCAACAACGCATGTTTATTGACATTGCCTTACACTACCCATCTCTTTCTGTCTCTCAATCGGTCTTCCTCGCTCTCTGGTTTACTCTCCCTCCCTCTCTTTTACTCCCTTTCTTCCCCACAATCTGGGGGCGTTTGTTGTTGTTGTTTGTCTGTCTTTGGGTCGCGACGCTGCCGGCCTATGTGTGTATGTATGTATTTATTAATGAGACAGTGTTTGTGTGTTTGCTCCGTGTTTACCTCAGCAGACATACAACATACAAACATACATACTTACCAATGCCGCATCAGCAGAAACTGAAATCTCAAAATCATACGGGCCAAGAAGAAGCCCAAAGAGACGGAAACTCAGACAGAGACTGAAGACCAAACCAAGCCCAAAAGACTCGAGACGAGGTCGCAAGAGAGTCCCCACCCGAATCACACTAACCTACAGGGGGTCCGTTTCGGTTTGGTTTGGTGTAAGAGTCCCACCTACCAAACAGTACTTGCAATTAGGAATCCATCAGTCATCCTCGGAAAACCTGTCCAAAATCCATTTTCTTACTCTTAATGAAGAGGGCTTGTATGAGAACACTATAACACTTAATCGGTAATAGGATAACAGAATTTTAAGATTACCCGCATAATCTTTACATTTCGATCTGAAGCATTCTGATTAAAACGAATCCTCAATACAACTATTGATAACTCTGCACGTTAATTATTACTATTAAAAAAAACATAAAAGACAAGAAAGTTATAAGGACAAAAGGCAAGATAAGATTTGAAATATTGTTTTAGAATTTCAACAAAAAATAGTTGTTCTCTAAAACAAATGTTAACATATGCCCTACCCATATTTAATACATGGATAAGATAACACAGTAAAGCCCATTTTGCTGCACAGTGTAGACCAACTTCTGTGCCGGAGTTTCGAACTCCGGACGTTTTTGTATTCTTCCTCTTCTTCACCAAAGTTGTCTGCTGCCTACACACATACTCACACATTTACATGCCGCCAGCGCACAAACATTTTTTTATGTTGGTTTCTGCTTCTTCCTATTCGCTTCTTTTGCTTCATTTACAATTTACAACGCGTTCTCTTTCCCTCTCTTTCCACTTCTCTGTCATTTGCTAACTCTCTTTGGTTTTTGCTGTGCGCCCTCTCTTTCGCTCAATTATGTAGCAAATGTTTGTGCTTGTGTTTTATTTGCGGTAAACCAACGGTTATTATTTTAATTGAATTGTATTTTTTGTCAGGTGCAAGTGAAAAAATTCCGGAATTTATAAAATTGTACATGTTACAGCTAAATTACATGTGTTCAGCGTGATTTGTTCTCCCCCGCTCTTTCGTTTTTTTCAAACCTCTCTTTTTCTCCGTCTCTCTCTATCTCTCTTGATCTTGTTTGCACTGGCTTAATTAGCAAATGACGCAGATTACTTGTGGGGATTTTCAATTGAACTTAGATTACCGCAATTAATCTGTCGCAAATGCATCGTGTGTGTGCGTGTGTACTCGTGTCACATTTAAAAAAAAAATATTAAAAATGGCAAAGGTGTCAATGATAACATTTGAACATCGTCGACAAGTTGTCATTTTATAACAGCACTGGAAAAAAGTGATACCTTCTTCTAGTTTATTTTGATATTAGCCAGTCAAAGAGGATGGCGACAAAAAGAGTATTTCAGATTCGACTTTCCATGTTTTTTTTCATGTAAGTAAATACAAAGAAGGTGCGACGAGACAAAAGACAAAAAAGGTGGTGGAGAGGGAGAGAAAGAGATAGATAGATGGCAATTGCAAGTGCACAGCAACAACAACATAAGACATAAATGCTGGTGCAAAGGCAAATGAAAAGAGACACACGTGAATAATAATTGAAAAAAATGTAAACCGCATATGGCGGAAATACGGAGGAGGGAAAGGGGCAGATAATGAACATATGGGCAAGGTAATGAACAGAGATTGAATGTTGAATGAAATGAATGAGCGGACGAGATGAAACCTGAAATGTGTGTGGAAAACTAATAGAAATTTTAATAAAAATGCATTGTAAATGTGGTATATGAATGGGATTGGCTTCTACGAATGTTCACAGAACTCTGCAAACTCAAACATAATCAAAACTAATATCAAACAAACGTTGTATTCAAATTTCCCTGCCACCAAAAGTATAAAGAAATCGCAATTTTATTACCCGATTCAAGGAAGTGTCGGTTGTTTAGGTAGCTAGATCCGTAGAATCGATCGAATGGAAAACCCAATATCGGCAGACCCTTATCGCTGACTGTCGCCGTCTGGCAGGGAATCGATATTCCAAGAACCCCAGGAAAATAAACACAAACAGCAGGCGGGCAAGATATGCTGAGGAGTAAGGAAAAACGTAGGAAGAAATGTCAAAGGGGGCGTGGCAAGAAGGGTTTTGACACCTTTAAAGTGAGAGGATGAGACCGATTGTAATCCGTCACTAACTTCCCAACATTTTATCATTGTTGCCCTGAAAATAAATGAAAGATTCAAGTTTTAAAGTTCCTAGGACACAAAAAAAAATAATCAGTATTGAAAAACATTTCTCTCAGTGCACCATATATTGCATTAATGCTAATGAAGAGCAAAATTTGTAAATGACACGGGGTGGAATAGAAAATGGATAGTGTGGCACTTGCAGGAGTCACAAACATTAAACTTGCACCATCTCTTTCGGTCATCCTATAGCCATCTCTCTTCGTGCTACTCATCAATTTTCCGGGCACGTTCTGAAAATGTTTTTAGAGACAGGAGACAGAAGACAGGAGAAGGAGCCACGAAGGAGCCGGGGAGGGAGGGGTAACCACGAATGCCAATTTTGGCAAAAACAAGTGACAAACACCAAAAACAGGACACAAGATGGACGGAATGGCAAAAACAAGATTACTGACTCTTTTTGGGGAGACTGTGAAGGGGTAAAAGGCCATCGCACTATTTATGTGTATGAGTGTGTGTAGAAATTTTTCGGGCCAATAAGTCACACACCAATAAAAGCAAACAAACCAACCAACAGGCAAACGAACAAACAAACAAACAGTGAAAGAGGAAAACACAGGCATCGAAATTGGCAACAGCCGGATGCTTTTGTTGGCTACCATCGATGGCAAAGATCATCGTGACCACAAGCAGAAGTTGTATCAAAAACTGGCCCAGAACCCAGGCCCAAAACCAGAAGCGCTATCAGTGATGAGCTCTTCAAATTGTTGGGGAAATTCAAGAAAATAGACAAATGTATCTTAGCCACAGTTTAGTTTTTAATGGTTTTATTTAAAGATTTTACATATCTTATAAGTCTTATCTAAAAGCGAAGCCATACAATTATATTAACCGTGAACTACCAATTCTCAAAAGGTTTTCCAAAAAAATTTTTACATTTCTTTATCTAAACTATAGCTTTGTTGACAGCTTCTGGGCTACTTCTTAAGGAAACTGTGTTATCAAGCAATAAACCATAAATTGATTAATTACTTTAAATAACAAGAAATGCCGATAAATATTTATTGTTGAGTATTTATTTCTAGTAAGCTGTTCTTTTGTAAAGATAAGAAAAGTAGTTTGAAAAAAAAGTTAAATTAAATTGATCAATTAATTTGAAAAGTGCTATTAGAAGACGATATCTTTTCAGAGTTTAGACAACGCAATTAATTTTAAATTAAATTGATCAATTGAACAAAAGTGTTTCGGAAAGTGATTTCGAGAGGTACGCATCCAATCTGTAAACAATTTCCGAGGCACGGAATGATATCATTCGGTTGGTGATTAAAGAAAGCATGAGAAAAGAAAGGAATTCGACGGATACTGAATCATCATCTTTATATCTATATCTACCAACCGCATTCCCCATATTGAACGAACTATATCTGATTCTCTGGCGGCACTCATCATCTCATCGCTAATGGGTAACGACTGTCTGACTGACAACATCGATGCGAATGCGAATGCGAGTTGGACCCGTTGACCAATTTCAGATTTGCAGCCTTATTTGACCGGACCGCTGCAGCCTCGTCTATATCTATTTCAGATTTCAGATTTCCGACTTCAGAGTGCCGATGTCTGTGCGTTTAAGTTTGCTGCCATATTTATGCGTTCGCAATGCAGACGTTTTTAATGTCTTTCCTACAAAGACAAGAACAGAAGGAGCACCAGAGCAGAGCAAAGCAGGCTGGAGCCAGCAGCCACCAGGCCACCAGCCAGCAGCTTACATTCATCGAGACATGAAGGCCTTTCCTCTTCATTATCTGCAGCCACAAATTGCATCCAGTGCAATGCCTTGGAGATTTCATGGCATGTACAGTATACTCGGTACATCCCCACCGCTCTTGGTTGCCGAATTTTGCATAATAAGTGCAACAGCAACATGGACAACCACAAACCGCAAAAACAACTTAAGTGAACAAGAAATCGAACCGAGGAAAAGCCCTCAAGGTGGGAAAATTGGTTAAAGGCAGTTCGGACGCCAGATTCAATCTGCCTCGATTTAATTGGGAAGTTACAAGGCGAAGTGCCTGACAATTATGCTTCTAAAAGGGGTCAATTTGGAAGCTTCACACTTGGTATCCAATTTCCAAGCAAGTTTGTACGACTGCAAAGGGGTGGTAATGACTACTAATGACTATATTACTTTGAAAACTAATCAAATTCGGTAATGTTTTAATATGCAGATAACTATATTCTGATACAGTGTTCGATTGGGTCATTAGAAACACATTACATAACTTTGTTTAATTTTATTTGTTGTTTAATCTCTGAGCTTGGCTACTAAAATCTAAATTGGTCATTGCTCTTGGGTAACAAAAAGTAGAGTAACATTAGCAAATGAGCAAATATTGTTTATATAGTCCCAGAGTATTTTTATCAACGTATTTCCCAACGACCTTTCCCGGGGTATAGATCGATCTTACCTGATCTTGAGCGTGGGTGACGGCTACCAAAATTCCAAGGAGGATTGCTGCGAGCACAAGCGGCTCTACGGAAATCTTCTGCTTTGGCTTCATTTTCCCCGTTGATTTCTTCTGCGGTTGCTGTTGTTGTGATTTCAGCTAATGGCTTCCAGTTTTGTTTATTGATTTAAAGATTAGAACTGGCGGTGGCACACATATATATATCTATCTATATATATATTTTTTCGAACTTTTCAAACTGGTTTGACACTAGAAAAATGCTGTTTAAATACACACATGGAATTATTATTAGGATTATTTATTTTTCAGACACACTATTCCCGATGCGTTATCAATCGAAATTGCAAAACAAAAGAGATAGAGAAAGATAGGCAGAGAGAGAGACAGGGTATTAATTAAGCATTACACACTGTAAAATTAACAACAATTTATCGAATGCGCGCGCGGCTAAAATCAAAGGAAGGAAAACGAAGAGCGGGGGTAATAAACAAAACGTTTACGCAGAGGGAAAAACAGAAAAAACGCAGAGACAAGAGCACAAAATGTAGAAGTGTGTGGGTGTTTATAATGTTTTTATTTAATTTTGATTAAATTACAAATTTACAATAATATTTAAAGAAAATAAATTTCATTTTCCTCTATTAAACACCCCAGTTTCTCAGTTCTCCTGTAATTTCCCTTAGAATCCAAATATTTTCAATGGAAAAAAAACACAACCGCCCACCACTACCAACACACTATTCGTATTCGCTCTCTGTCTCCTCCGCCCTCTCTTTCCCACTCACGCCGCTATGGCGGCTTCTTTATGTGTCTCTTTTCTCTTCTGCTTCGCCTGCCTCTTCTTTTTCGTATCTTTTGCCCGTTGTTTTGCTTCGTTTATTTTCGTTGCATTTATTTTTGTTATTTAACGCACCTCTTCCTTTTTGTATTTACAAAAACTGCACTCGCGTTTCTTTTTGGGGGGTTTTCAAATTTCTTTACACTCGAGTAGCGACCAAACACACGAAAACGCGCAAAATCCGGACGTACCCGTGCCTTCTTCGTTCCGTAAAAAATTTTCGAATGTGTTACCAAATGTGTAAACGGCTTTTCCCCATCCGTCAATTCCCTAAAAAATCCCAATGCAACGGAAACCATAATCTGAAACGCGTAATCTTGATAAGGAATTACAGTCTGGCCACACTGGATCACGAAGTGTACGTTACTAGACCGTTTTTTATATTTATTTAAATATTTTATTTATATCGTTGTTGTTGATAATTTTGAATCTGTTGACAAAATTTCAGAATTGCTTCTGTAAAAATATTCAAATATTTAACTAAAAAACCCGTGTCTAAATTTATATTTAATCTCTAAATTATTTAAATTATAATAATAAACACTTTGGTATATTTTATTGTTAGCGGTCACACTACAGGTGTTTATTCTCCTGTACTGTTAAATAATGAAACTTACATTCTGTAATGTATGTAATAGTTAAGGGATAACAGCATTTTTGTAAAGCGACATTGTGGGTAAAATTCAAAGTATCATTTTACACGAAAAGTAAACAAAAAGCAAAAGTTTGGCAATGATCAATTTAAGATATGCTTGTTTATAATCAAGAGTTACTTATTTTTAAAAGATATATTATATACGAATTTTCGTATATTTAGCTTTGATTTACGAAAAGTATGCTTAAAATTGTTTCCAAATTTTTTCTTTGGCGCTATTGTTTAATGTAGAGATATAAAATAAGAGACTGTTAACATCTTACTGTTAACTAACAGTAACAGAGAATGAGAGAGAGAGCGCGAAATATACTAAACCAAAACAGTGTTGGTTAATTTAAAGTTGAACAACTTTTCTGTGGTTATTTTTAGGCACTTTCGTACAATGTTTTTTGTCTCGGGGTTTTTGTTAATAAATTAGCCAGAGAAAACAAAGTAAATAAGGTAATTGCAGGTGCTTAAAAAGGCCCAAACAAAGCGAATCAGGTGTTATTGTGCTTAAAATGATGTTCTTGTTTATATTTGAGATGTGAAAAACGTATGAATCACAAGATTTGGTTTTTTCTCACTTCAATTTGCACCCTTGCAGAGAGTATTATAAGTTTACTCAGAAGTTTGCAACGCATTTAACGAGTCATATTCGACCTCTTAAAGTGTTTATATTCTTGAACAGTAATATTATCTGGTTTCCCGTTTCTAAGCACTCTCTGTTTTAACAACAACATTCTAAGGAACAATCAGAAAATTAATGAATAATGGATCATGTTAATCCCAAAGGAACTAACGGTCTATTCATAAACAAATCATAGAAATGAAAAGAAATGAAAATGAAAAAATTTGAATTCAAATCCGTATTATACGGTTTCATCTGTTTTAAGGGCCATCAGAACCTTAAGATTATATCATAAACATTAAATCGTGAAATGGCAAGAGTATTTAAAGTTCGACTTGCAAAAGTTTTCTTTTGGTGTTTGCTTTTCTTTTGCGTTTTGTGAAAATGAAGCGGAATAAACCCGGATTTTCTTTCATATTTTAGGCTCTTAGCTGATTTGGTGGCCATGGATTTGGTGGACATTGATCAGGTTTTGGACAATTTGGAACTGCGCATTGCGGCCGATGAGCAGCTGTCCAGGAATGCAGCGGCAGCTGCGATTTCCGCAAATTCTGGTCGATTCCTAGGCGATGGAGCAAATGCGTCCAATAATACAGCAGTAGCCGGAGGATCGGGAGCTACTGGAGTGACACCAACATCGCTGGCAGCTCCGGCATCTGGGAAAACCTTCGTGGGCGTCTCCCAGGTTTTCAACAGCCTGGATGACTATCGGGAAAATGTGAAATCCTTGGAGGTGGATGGCCAATTGCCTAGCTACGATTGGCAAACTGAGGCGGAGCACGAGGACGACATCCACAAGTTCAGCGAACAGGCGGCGAAAAATAATGGACAGGCGATAGTATCCTCCTCCGAATCCCTGACCACTTCTTCTTGTTCCACCTTCTCGTCGGGTCCGTCGCCCGTCAGCAATGGCAGTCACTCGGAGGAGCTAACAACGCCGCCGGAAAGTGATAAACCAAGTGAAGTTCAGGTGGCTCCAAAGGAGCAAGAACAAAGGGCGGCAGAGGTTAAGGATCAGGATCAAAGTCAAAACCACACGATTCCAGAGCCAGATCAGTCAAAGGGCAATGTAGAGGAGTTGGCCGTGGGCTTGTCCTCCATCTCGTTCACAGCATCCGTCACAGAATCGCAGTCCTTGCTGCCGGAAGAGGTCACCGCATCCTCTGTTCTGGGACAGGTGCTGCAGGAGCTTTCGGAGGAGTCGTCGCCCAGTAGAGAACCCGAAACGGAGATGACAAATGGCATAGAAATCCCAGTGGCCATTTTAGTGAGTACAATTAGTGTTTAATTTAATTTCAAATTATTATTAACTTTCAGTTTAAAAAAGAGAAAAGGTCGATACTAACTTGAAATTCACTTGTCAAATATAATCATATCAATTTTTCTTATCTTTTTGATATATGAATCATTAGAAATCGATTTATGGATGATATAGGGCGTGTTTAATAACATCGTAGAATATATTTCTTTAATATTACCTTTTGGTAAAAAAAGAAGATGTTCCCTATCCTAGATTAATATTTAAAACTGTACTAATTTACTAATTATGCCTTCTAGAAACCATCAACTCCGGAAGTACCACCACCACAAGAAAAAGAGCAGCCGGCACAAACCGAAGAAGAGGATGTGGAGCCGCCTCAGGAGCAACAGCCCAGGCGCAGTCAACCCCTGACCTTCTGTTCTACGATGGACGAGATCTCCGACACAGAGCTGGACAGCATGCTGCAAGAGATGGACGCAGATGACAACCAGGAGCCGGACCAGGAAATGCCCGAGGAAGAAAAATCCCCCTCCGCCTCACCAGTGACCGAGGAGGAGTCCGTGCGGATTCTTTCTGACGAACAGGAGACCACTTCCAACGATCAGATGAACGTGGACAACTTCTCGCAGGCCTCTACCGTGGAGTTTGCCGATCTTAAGCAACAGGAATCCACACCAGTCACCGCAATGGGCGAGGACATAGCCTCCAGTTTCAGCAGCACTGAGTCGGATTCGCTTTCGGGCAGGAAGCTGGATGGCGAGGAGGACCAGGAGGCTGACAGAGAGCATGAAGATGCCAGTCTGGCCACTGATGCGCTGGAAACCCAAGAGCAGCGTCCCCAGCGACCGCAAACCCTGGATTTGAATGGTTGTCAGGCGGGAAGTCAGAGTCCCTCACAAGACGAAACCCCTGAAGTTCATCAAAGCGAGTCCCAGCCCGCCGAAGTCAATGAAGGAGCCGGTGGAGTAGGTGTAATACCCGGTGAAGATGACGAGGAAAGTCCCATCTACGAGGCTGTCGGCTACAGCGACCCGCATGCCAATCTGGGAAAGGTGCCACCCATTTGGGTTCCGGACAACATGGCCGGGCAGTGTATGCAGTGTCAGCAAAAGTTCACGATGATCAAGAGGCGACATCATTGTCGCGCCTGTGGAAAGGTCTTGTGCTCCGTTTGCTGCTCTCAGAAATTCCGTCTGGAGTTCGCCAACGAACCGGAGTCAAGGGTATGCGTGCAATGTTACATGATTCTCTTCGAGCGGCAGGCGAACGGATCGAGTTCAGAATCAGCTCCTGGTTCAGCTCTGCCACCCACTCCCATGCGTTCGCCAAATCCCAACAATCCGATGGAATACTGTTCCACGATACCCCCACACCGTCAGGTGGCCTCTTCACCGGGAGCTCCACCACCCAGCGTAATTGTGCCCGTGGGTGTGCTGAAGAAAACCGATGGAAGCTCTTCGAATTCCTCCAGTTCGGATGGCCAGAAGGGCGTGAGGAAGCGGAAGAGTGTAATGTTTAGTGATGGCATTGCGCCAGGAAGCGAACTGGCCAGCACCATGGAACAGCAGTGGGGCGAGTCCAAGCAGGCGAGAAGAGGTCTCTCCAGGAGCGGTTCGGGAGCTGGTCAAAAACCGCCCACACCTGCGACGGAGGAGCCACCGCGCAGCATTGACACTAGCTCCACTTTGGGCCTGGTGGCTCAGCTTTTCCGAGGCTCCATACCCCCAAGTGCAGCGGCTGCAACGTTGTCAGCAACTGAATCTTCGAGCGGTAAGGGCGAGCTTCACATCCAGTGAAATCCATATGATGTAATCCTTTTTCATCCCCCAGCTGGTCGCTCCTCATCCCAATCCCAAGCTCAGACCTCGCCGCGCCGCAAAGTGGAACCAGCGCGCAATCGCAAGCTCCCACCGAACGGAGACTCCCAAGGCTGCTATCTGCCCGCCGAGGAGAATGCCCTGCCCCCTCTTTGTATAACGACCAAAGAGGGCTGTGATGTGGAGTACAAAGTGGTGCGCAACGATGGATCGCTCCTAGAGAGATTGCAAAACGAAACCCTGAAGTTTATTATAAAGAACAACTTCTTTGTGATGGTCAAGATTGTTAACAGTAAGTTCTTGAATCTCCTGATCAGTCTTTATCCTTCTATATCATGTTTCCCAACCCCCAGTGAGCTGCTGTATGAATCGCTGGGTGCTGAACTTCACCACATCCGGATTGCATCACATGGGCAGCGATGAGCTGATCATTCTGCTGGAAATAAAGCAACCCCAGCAGAGTGAATCTGTAGCTGGAGAAGTCGCCATCCCCAAGGATGTGTTCCAGCACCTGTATGAGATATATGTGGAGGCAGAGCACGCCCGGTCCAGTACCCATGAGTTGGCTTTTACCAGTCCGCGTAACGCCAATTTCCTGGGATCCCGGGAGCATGGAGGATTCATTTTTATCCGGCCAACGTACCAGTGTCTGCAGGGCGTTATAGTGCCAGATAATCCCTATCTGGTTGGTGTGCTCATTCATCGACACGAGGTTCCCTGGGCTAAGGTCTTACCTCTGCGGTTAATCCTCCGTTTGGGTGCCCAATATCGCTACTATCCCTGTCCTCTCATCTCGGTGCGCGGCAGGGAGTCGGTGTATGGAGAAATAGCTCAAACTATCATCAATTTCCTGGTGGATTTCCGCAACTATTCCTACTCCCTACCAGCTATCCGAGGATTATATATCCACATGGAGGATAGGCAGACCACGGTGATTATTCCAAAGTATCGCCAGCAGGACGTGATCAAGGCAATCGACAATGCCAGTGACCACATCCTGGCATTTGCTGGCAACTTCTCAAAGGTGGCCGATGGGCACTTGGTCTGCATGCAGAATATCAACGACGATCGATCCGAGATGTACTCCTACTCCACGCAGGCCATTAACATTCAGGGCCAGCCCAGAAAGATCACGGGAGCGAGTTTCTTTGTCCTCAATGAAGCTCTCAAGAGCAGCAGTGGTTTGTCGGGAAAGTGCAGCATCGTTGAGGATGGCCTTATGGTGCAGATTATGCCCGCCAAAATGGAGGAAGTGCGTCAGGCGTTGCGTAATCAAAACGACATCGATATCGTCTGCGGCCCCATCGACGCCACCGACGATCAGAGTGAGATTGTGAGCATCAAGTGGGTGGACAATAATCGTGACATCAATGTGGGGTAAGTTGGAAAGCAAAAACCTTCATCGAACATGATTTATAACTCTCGAAATTAACAGGGTCAAGTCCCCCATTGATGACCAACCCATGGATGGCATTTCCAACATGCGTGTCCATGCCAGCTTCAACTATTCCAATGCCAATCACGCCATCCGTCTGAGTGATATCTACATCGTCAAGGTATACCTAAGTTGTTAACTTTTTGGTCGATTTAACTTCTAGCTTAATGGTTTTACCACATTTTCTTTACAGTGCGAGGAGTGGTATGCCACAAATGGTGGCAACTATGCGGACATAACTCGGATTGCCGAGCAACTAGCTCGCAGTGCTTCGATGGCTTTGCTGCCTTTTCTTGATCTTCTGGCCACGGCTGGCATTAACAAACTTGGCCTGAGAGCCACACTCGACCAGGATAATGTATGTTAGCTAAAATTGAGAATCTACAAATAGGATTACTAATATCTCCTACTCTCAGGTTGGCTATGAAGCCGGGGCCCGAGGCTCCAAGCTACCGCCGCTGTACATGAATGCCCTGGATAACCATCTGATAGCTACGCTTCATGGCGAATCGTCCGGCATTCAGGACCCAATCATTCTCGAGCTGGTCTTCTACATACTGAACGCCTGACTTTAGTCCCAAGTAGTGCAATTCTCCTGCTGGATTTGAAGCCCAAACGGATACCTTCTTAACTCAAGGCTCTATGCGATCAAAGCTTACAATAACTACACCATGGCTCTTGGGGCTAATGAGGAGGAGGTTATATAGTCGTATTGTTGGATGGCTCAGTTAACTGTGTATATATTTAAGTAGCTCATCGATCGGTTTTTGTCTCTGCTTTTCTACAATACTCCTCCCCCTTTTCTTTTACACTGTTATATTATTCTTGAATTTTATTTGTTTGAGTTTTCATTGAAAGTAAAAATATCTAAGAAACCTATATATATATATATATATATTTGTATGTGATGTTCTTTAATATGCTTTACACATTTACCATTCGAGTATATATATGAATAACAAACTATATAAAAACTGTTGATCAAATCGCTGTTTATCTCTGTGGAAAGAGGAAAGAAAACATCTTTAGATATGTTGTTAAATATTATTGGTAGCAATTCTTTATTCAATTTAAAGTTTTCCAATTGACTTCGTCTCGAGATTGTGTCTCTGTGATTTACAAATATCGATATGAACATTATATTTACGATGGGCCTAGAAATCGTCACCACCCGCAGACGACACAAAGTATATAACAACCTATAAATGTATATAAAAATGATGTTCGTTCTCTCTCAGATTGTACATAATTTAAACTACGTCTAGTGCCGGGGCTCAGACACACGAAATAATAATGTATTGATGTTTAGATGCTGGCTGATATGTATGCTATATACAAAATGACATCGGGAAGCATCAGTTGCACTCGACTTATTGCTCGGCCTCCGCCTCATCTCTTTTATATATTGTTTAGATCTGTGTATATATTTCTGGGTTCTTATATAACTTAAGCACTCGTGTCCCTTCGATGTTCGATCACACCATAAACCCCCACTGCGACGGGGCCTACAGCTCGTCGTGCTTGGGTCCGGAGAACTCCTCGTGCGAGATGAATCCGTTCTTGTCCTTGTCCTCGTGCTGGAAGATCTCCTCCACCAGCTTGTCGTTCTCAGCCAGCATGTTCTTCAGCTCGGCAGAGTCCTGGCCCTCGACGGCGGTCATCTGCTTCTTCAGATACTCGCTGACCTGTAGGAAAGATAAGTTAAGTTAAGTTAGTATGCCATCTTAATAATGTGTGTTAGCAAAACGAAAGTATAGGTCAAGGGTTAGTAACTTATCCCACGTCCAACGGATATTTCAGTGTAGAGAGACATTTATATAACAAAAGTGCGATCCATACATAGCTGATTACCTCTTCGCGACTCAGCTGCTTGTCGGCGTTATCGTCGATCTCCTTGAAGACGTTGGTGGTGGGCGGGGCGTTGCCGATGTTGATCAGCTCCACGTCGAACAAGAGGGTGGCCTTGGGCGGGATCACGTTGCCGGCACCCTGGTCACCATAGCCCAGCTGGGGTGGGATGGTCAGCTTGCGCTTCTCACCTGGCAGGGAAAACGAAGAGAATTCCAAATTTAATTTACAATTTTTGCAGGACACCTTTTCCTGGTACTTACCCACGCACATGTTGAGCAGACCCTGGTCCCAGCCCTTAATCACCTGGCCGGCGCCCAATTGGAATGTGAAGGGCTGGTCGCGGTCGAAGCTGCAAAAAAAAAGAGACAAAAAAGAGATGCAAATTGTTAGATCCTTGTTAGCCGCAAAGTTTCAAGTGCTTACAGGTGTCGTGGGACATGAGCCACCTTAAACCGAAACAATTCATCATTTCCCTATGACTGTGCTGCCTGCCTTCTTTTTTAACAGTCTATAAAAATTATTTATTTGATGGTCTCGCTAAGCGAATTTACTTTAATTTGTTAAGCGTAAAAAAAGGGCGGATGGAAGGCAGGGAGCTGCTCAGGTATGCATGAGAATGTCGCGCCTTGAGCTTGATGTATGATGTGGCACAGTTGCAGGCCATTTCATGATGATTATGATATATAGAAATGGATTCTGGGTATCTCAGGGTTGCTAAAGAGGTGGGGGTACTCGGCAAATAGAGCCATAAACAGGCTGTAAAATGCTTTTTATAGGCCAAACGTCTTATGAGCTTTAATTCAGTTTTGGATTGGAATTTTTTTGGGAAAAGACTTGAAAGATATAACCTTCATATCCAAAGATAACTTCAAAAATACTCGATCATCTTCTTTAATAACATTTTTAATAGATTTTTTTTTCCAAATTTAAAGGCCAAACACTTTCCTAGACCAACTTTCTTAACCCTCCAGAGATCTGAACTTGGCAATGGAAATGTGTCGCTTGGGCCTGCTGACTGCAGGAAAAGTTTTCGGAATTTTTTAAACTCTCCCGTTGTTCATCATTATATTATTATTGTTGTTTGTTAAGAAACTTCCTTTGGCTGTTAGGTTTTTTTTAAACTTCTCGGGGATACCCGTTTAAATCTAAGAAGAAGGAGGCCGAGACAGATTATTGCACTTGAGGCTGAGGAGAAGGAAACGAATGATTAACCAGGAGTCACCCGAATGTGGGTGGGGAAAAGTTGTAGGGCTTGTCTGTTAAATATTTTATGTGCATCTCCTGGGCATTTTGCAAACATTTTTACATGCCCCGGCTGTTGTTTCAAGTCGCAACGATGATGGGGCAAGTGGCAAGTGGAAATGCGGCAAGTGGCATGCGGATTGCCGCTGAATAATCCACCCAACCAGGCCGAAAGGCAGAAAAAAAAACACAAAACCAGCTCACATTCAGAGCGGTTAAGTGTGACTCTGGAGCGTAACCAAAGTGTCGTCGTCGTCGGGGCTGCTTTTTCTGTTTTTTGTCGCCGGCTTTCGCTCAAGTGCAAATCTCCTGATGAAATAAAAAAGCGTACAAAATTTGTATCCCACCCCCTTTGGAGTCCTGGGTGTCCTATGTGTGTTTTCGGTTGGTTTTCCAGGGATTACGCGGCATCTAAGACACCTTGGCGGCTTGTCTTTATTCTGGCTGTGGCTGTGAATTTTTATTGCATTATTTTCCATGAATTTCTAGTAATACTCGTATGAGAAACATTTTATGGGGACTCTTGTTCGGCGTTTCGAGGGTCCTTTATCCTTGGAGTGCTTACTCCCGAATCCCCGCTAATTTATGCTGTTTTAGAGGCTCAGTGGTAAATATGAATGTGGCTTTGTTTCTTGAACAATATTGAAAGGGTATTCCAAAATGTTTATTTACCACTGAAAAACTCAGTCCTTATCCCATAAACTAAATCATTATGCCCGGAAAAACTTACTGAAATTCATATTAAAAGCCATTTAAACTTATTCAAACTGAAATCTGATTACAATTATTCATTAGCCACGCAGCATTTCCCCCTGTAATATGAAATTCCAACCCTCAATTAAACAGAGCAGCTTTAATGGGAAAGCGTTTAAAAAACAGAGCTGTCGAGTCGTAAATAAATTAATAAAATCGTTTAAACGTGTTGATTGTTTCAGTCAGCCGAGCTGACCCTTCCGACATCCGCGTCCTTCGTCCTGTTTGTCCCCCTGAAGCAATCAAATATTTATGAATTACCGGGCAAGACAAACAAAAGGTCAGCTGAGAGATCGGACCTGCCTTCACTCGCAGGTGGACAAACAAGTTGCAGTTGCAATTGCCATTGCAGTTGTTATGCAATGGGCAAAAGTCAAACAGAAAATCGTTGATACTTTGCAAGTGTTTTGCAGGTTTTTCCAGCTCATCTCCGAGGAGGCTTAGATTGTGGTTTAAAGAGCGGGCAAGGGGGATGTTCAAGGGGTAAAGCATGTATGTGTTTTTTTCTTCCTTTTTTTTCGGCTTTATGGCCAGCACATTATCATAAAGTCAAGCAAAAAATGTAAACTCATTCATCCACTCACTAAATATTTAATAAGTTTCGATTTCATTCCTCCACTGCTGGCTGATGCTGTATCCCAATCCCAAACCCAATCCCAATTCGAATCCGTGTTGGTATCTGTATCTGTATCTGCAAAATGCGAACTGCGAACTGCGAACTGCCAGGCAGGTCCCAACGCATCGCATAATTTAAAATGCAGCTCAATGGGCGCCCAAACATCCGTTTTGCCGTTCTACGTGATTCCGCACCACGGGTGGCGGGCACTCGGCGGCGGCATTTGGCCACCCGAAATCATACCACGTCACTCCTCCTCCGCCGACTTTCAGACACATTCAATCCAATCAAATTGAATCCTTTTGGGCGGCTCCCTTGATGACCTCGTTTTATGTGTCCGGCCAAGAAAAGTTATAAAATCAAATATGCAACCGCAATACCTTTGCCTCATCTCCCTCATTTCGGAGGCCTCCACGTTTGGGGCGACAAGTTGCGATTAACGTGCACCAACAAGGACAAGGACTCCGGCAGGACCTCTGTCCATGGATTTCTCTCTGAGGGAATGGTCAACGTGCGAACAATTCACACAAAAAGTCTAAAGTTTGAACAAGTTTGCGCCGCTGCACTGAGAGAAAAACTACTAAGTTACTAAAATATCAAATTTAAGATATTCGTAAATGGTTTTCCGACTTCGTTAATCTTTTGATCTAACATTAAATCAGAGTTTAAACAGAGTTCGTTTGCATAGTTCATAGTGCATAGATTTTCTCCAAGTGCCGTAACTAGTGCCTCAAAGGACATCCAAATTTATGCCCCAGCTGGCGGCATCACGTTCGTGCGCCCTTAACACACAACCCCGAAAAAAGCTGCTGTAAATTGTGGAAAATAAAAATTGCAACCGTTGAAGCTCATTAATTATTTAAACTATCTACAAATGTGTCTGACGCGGGGCAAGTAAAATATATATTCCGAGGCAAGAGTTGCCATAAAAGTCAGACAGGCAGGCAGTTGCAGTTGCAATAGCAGTTGCAGAAACACAGCAGCACTTGATTGCTTCCACATGGTAATGAGCTTTAGATTTAGTGGCCAGCGACGACTCCAGTACTTTGTTGCTGCTGTTGTTGGAAAGCCAAGTGTTTTGCCACCAATGGTGTCAAGGTTTCTGCGGTCATTCAAGCAGAGCTTAAGGTCTGCTTCCACTCCTATTTACCAGCTTTTTGCTGCCCCATTCAAGGTTGTCCAGAGAGTAAGCTAAAACTTTCACTTTGATGCATTTCTGGTTGCTGTTTCTGTTTTTTACGCACTCTGCTTTTGGACATTAAATTGCTTTTGCAGCCAAAAGAGGTGACACAAAGGGGGGCAAATTGGGCTGTGGATGGTTGGGAAGAAGAGAGAAAAAAAAGGGGACTTTGCACTTGGAACATACAAATCATGGCAGCCAGAAAGCGACAACATCGCAAGTTATGGCCCGATGCTTCAGGTAACTGACTTGTGCTCTTCTTCATTTTTCTTTATTTCCTACTCGTGGCTGCTCCACCGTTACGTTGTCAAAAAATTCGAGAAACATGCTTTTGA